TTCCCCTGGACACCACCACGTGGAGTTTGTAGCAAGGAGGGACCCGTCTGGCCACACCCATTGCCCTGCCTCCAAGGTGCCACCCACGGTTCGTCGGGCTAATGTGTCATTGACTGCAATACAAGTGTAACGTTTTAGCAAAATAGACATTTAGAATTGTACAATACTGTTCAAAACAGAAGCTGATCCTTCACCCTTACAGGCCAGAAAATATTTGTTTAAAGTTTGGTACCATTACCCTCGATTTGACGCACTGCACGTTACTTTAAAATTTACACCAATCACGATCCGGTGTAAAATAGGTCTTCAGCAACCCATGCTTGTCGTAAGAGGCAACTAACGGGATCGGGTGGTCACGCTCGCTGACTTGGTTGATGCATGTCATCGTATCCCAATTGTGTGGATTGATGTTCATGATGTCAATCACTGGATAGTCTGGTCCAGACTTGATTATTTACAATGGACTGGAAAATTGCTGAGTGCGGCGTTAAACAACAAGAAAAAAAAAATTCTTTATATCAAACCACATAAAAGTACCTTGCCTCAGCTAACATAACGAGGAATCTACATGTACGTACGCTCTAATGGCATACCTTTAATGTTTAATTCATAATTTTAAAAAATTCAAGTATTATTCCTACCGCTACCTTAAATGGATTTTTTAAATAAAAGCGACAAAAGCCATTTCCATGAACATCAGAAATGTTTACTAAAAGCAGAGAGCACAGTATTATTTCGACTTTATTCATGGTGAGTGAGTGAGTGAGTTGGGTTTAATGCCGCATTGAACATTATTGCAGTTATATCACGGCGTGTCAGCTTCATGTGGGAGGAAAGCCCGAAGTAATGCAGGTCTGATATGATACCACATCGGTGAAACCCACGAGCACGGGTATGGTGCTGACAAACCTAGCAACGGAACCATAATCAGGGCCATGTGTTCATGAATCACTTTCACACAGTGATGAAACCAGGTGTTCGCGAATTCACCGGTTGAATGATACCGCTTCCCGTTGGGGAAAATAGCATGTCACCTATCTTTCGTATCACAGCCCCGCGATAAAGAGTGAATGAGTATTATTCGGCAATATTCCAGCAATATCACGGCGGGGAACACCAGAAATGGGCTTCACATATTGTATCCATGTGGGGAATCGATTTCGCATCTTCGGCGTGACGAGTGAGTGAGTGAGTTTGGTTTTACGCCGCTTTTAGCAATATTCCAGCAATATCACGGCGGGGGACACCAGAAATGGGCTTCACATATTGTATCCATGTGGGGAATCGATTTCGCATCTTCGGCGTGACGAGCAAACGTTTAAAGGAGAACTAATCTCTGGCTTCTTTCCTGATCACTCGTCACCACTCGCCCCTTTCCGTAACCTGCAGGAAGACTCGTCCCCCTATCGATGAAAGTTATGTGCGAAAATACGACAAACCAATCAGAATGTGCGTATGACTTGAACAAGTACTTCTGACAAAGAATCCCCCAGGAATATTTTCTTTTTTTCTTTTTTTTTTTTTTTTCTTTTTTTTTTTTCACACTGTCTTGCATTTAAAAATACACCCAAGATACACTTAAGATACAGTTATATGTGTTCAATCATAGCGTGTGATAGTTCAATCATATTGTGTGATACTGTATGTCCCGATGTGCTTTAAATAGCTTCTGAAATATATATGATATATGGGGAAACATACGTGAATCACAACGCAATGAGTTGGCAATTGCTTTAGGTATGCCCGTATGCGATTAGACGTAACCCGGTCGCAAAAAATGGCCGCGAGAGGGGCACGAGTCGCTATTCGGCGAGTTGGTCCCCAATTCGACGAGTTGGTCACGAATGCTTCCTGGCTGTCGAACACTGCCCGCTCCATTCGTAAGTAAGGATAAGAATTTATGGATGAACAACTTCTTAATTACAATTAAGAGCGACGTTTAGGTGTAGCTGCGGTGTAATTATGGTCTGAGAAGTCATACCATGCACAACACAAATAAAGCCACAGGGAAACCACCATCCAGCCACAAGCTAGAACCATCAGGAGCAGCGTACCACATTCCGTGCAATTGTGGACAAGCTTACATAGGTGAAACATCTTGGCCCCTCAAAAACCCGAATAAAAGAACATCAAAGCTCACTCTCCTAAGATGACTCTAAATCTGCTATATCAGACCACATCCGTGACAACCCAAGTCACAGCATTCAGTGGGAGAGAGTCACAACCCTTGCCACCAATCTCAAAGACTTCTATAACAGGAAACTACAAGAAGCATCAACATCAAAAGATTCCAGCCGTCAATCAACCGTGACCAAGGCTATTACATACCCCGGCGTACCATCAACTCATCAAAGACCCCTAACAGCCATAATCCCGTTGTTTATATTACTGGCTCTACTGTATAAACATTGCCTCCTACTTGTATATATACTTGTCAACCACACTCTGTATATCACTTACTTGATAACGGTGTTAGAACCTACACAGAAACGTCGCTCTTAATTGTAATAAAGAAGTTGTTCATCCATAAATTCTTATCCTTACTTAGTACTCCAACTTCTAAATGCCTATGAAAGAAGCGCTCCATTCGTGACCTATTCGTGTTATTCCAGGACAAGCCGAATAGCGACTCGTGCCCCTCTCATGGCCATTTTTGCGACCGGGTTCCGTCTTAGTGCAAACGCGCATACCTAAAACAATTGTCAACTCGTTGTGTAATGGTTCACATATATTTAAGGCACATCGGGACGTGCGGAATTATACATTATGATTGAACACATTTAACTGCGTCTTGGGATTATTTTTAAATGCAAGACGTGTAAAATCAAAAATTATTTCTGAGGGATTCTTTGACGAAGAACTTGAAATAATACGCGCATTCTGATTCGTTTGTCGTATTTCCGCACATAACATTCATCGGTAGGGGGACGAGTCTTCTTGCAGGTTACGGAAAGAGGCGAGTGGTGACGAATGTGCCCGTTCGGGCTCACGAGCTGCTCGCTAAGGCAACTGTGCGTGACAAGACAGTAGGGACAGCATAAATAAACTTTGAGGCAATATCAATACGCATTTATAAACACTGATTGGTTACTCGTGATCTATGAAATTTTCGATATTTCGAAGCGCCCATGTAATCCATTTCTTCAAGTTAGACAAACAGGCAAAATGAACGACGGAAGCTCATCGGATGTCGGTATTTGGGAATATCCTTGATGGTTATAGTTTATGAAAAAACGTATCCCCGCAGTGAAAGCATTTTCGGATTTCGGATTACGTGAATACTACGATGACTGAAATATATTTGGATCCTTTTCTTTCATATCTTGATATGGTTGTTTTGTTCGTTTGTTAACGCCGCACTCGGCAACGTTCCAGCTATATGACGGCGGTCTGTAAATAACTGACAATCCAGTGACTGACATCATGAGCATCCATCCACGCAATTGGAATAAGATGAGGATATTTCATTGACCTTCAGTAAATGATTCTTAAATGCAATTTAATTCCATGTTGTTCATGACAACATTGACTCTTGACATTAATGTTTAATATGTCCAAACGACATTCCCAGGATTATAAAGGAGCACCGAGGCTATATGACGGCGGTCTGTAAATAATCGAGACTGGACCCGACAATCCAGTGACTGATATCATGGTCATCGATTCACGCAATTGGGATAGATGACATGCATCAACCAAATCAGCGAGTCGACAACCATGGTCGCTTTTTTACGGTAAGCATGGGTTGCTGAAGACTACAAAACCTTGAAGCATCACCACGGTGCAAACTATTGTCATCAGGGGAGATGCCCAATTCAATCCTTTTTTCACAAAAATACATATAGAAGTTATCATGCTAGTGTGTTTTGGAAAGGTAAATATCGAATATTAGGGATACGCAATGTATTTATCGAGCCTTGGCGAGCTACATGCTCAGCGTTGATTTCTAAAATAGGATAATATAGCGTGATAACGCCTCCATCTTATCTCATTCTTATATTCTATCGTCGAAAAATGTATTCCCATCTCGCACAAACGATACAAACGAAATATTGCAAGTTTTACTGGATTGTGCAGACTAATATATTACGTCACGGGGTCAGTTATTAGTTAATCGAACAGTTACATCTGTCAATATATATGACAGTGGCGTAACTACGAAATAGGAAAACGACAATTGTCTTTATCTTGCCGAGAAACACACACGTTGTATGATGAACACCATTATCTGCATTGAAATCCTTGATCATCGTGATAGTTGTGTGAAATATTCGCGCCCTGGTCGCAAATAAACTATACTGAAACTGAACTGACACCAAGACAGCCCTGTTTGGTGCGGGGGTTTTCTGCAATGAGATCTTTGATCATTGCGACAAAATAACGCCCAGGCGCGACAACGACGCGAAATCATGTATTACAAAAGAATTTTTTTTTTATCTACATGTTTGTTTTCAAAAGTACACATCGTTATCTGCACCGTTGTTTTCTGAAGTACATTCTGTGCACTACAAAGCAAGAGACTTTACATTTCTTGCTGGGATACGCGGAACTTCTGGGCATTATTTGAGGCCGTTGTGGGTGAGGGTCGCGTGCGTCAAGCGGTTATATAAAATAGAGCTGCGCTGACCTCATCTCAGACTCCGGAGAGCTAGCCAGGACACATCTCAGCCCGGTGCAAACATCACGGGGTGTTTTTTGGTTGTTGTTTTTTCAGTCTACCGCGGAGTTTCAAGCCGGCATGTAACGTGACGCTTGCTGTTAACGGCGAATATTCTTGTAGTAAGAGGTGACTAGAGGGATCAGGTGGTCACGCTCGCTGACTTGGATAATGCATGTCAACGTATCTCAATTGCATAGATCGATGCTCATGATGTCAATCACTTGATTGTCTTGTCCAGACTCGATAACTTACATCCCGCCGTCACGTAGCTGGAATATTGCTGACTGCGGCGTTAAACAGCAACCAACATCAACATCTACCTTAAAGATGACGATGATTGTTTACAAAATTACAAAACTATCGTTATCTGCACGATTGCTTTCAAAAAGTACATACCGTTATTAGCAATGAAGTCTATGATCATTTGAATCTTGCTGTCGGTGGCGATGGACAACAAGCGTGCGTCCTCCTCCTGACATAGGCTTCGGGCGTCGACATTCTTCTCCAAAGTATCCGAAAATCGCAAACAGGAGTCTCCCACGCGGCTGTATTGGGAGGGACACCCTTGAAGACGAAACAGAACCATGTTAGTGTTGTTTGTTTGTTTGCTTGCTGTTTATCGCCACACTCAGCACTATTCTGGGGTTTGTTTGTTTGTTTGTTTAACGCCGCATTCAGCAATATTCTGGGGTTTGTTTGTTTGGTTGTTTAACGCAGCATTCAGCAATATTCCAGCTATATGACAGCAGTCTGTTAATAATCGAGTCTGTACCAGGCAATCCAGTGATTGACACCATGAACGTTGATCAACGCCATTGGTATACCATGAAATGCATCAACCAAGTCAGCGAGCCTGACCACCCGATCCCGTTAGTCGCCTCTTACGACAAGCATAGCCGCCTTTTAGGGCAAGCATGGGTTGCTGAAGACCTATTCTACCTCAGCTCTTCATGGGCAATGAGTTGTGGTGTTGTAAAGAGTTGTAATTATTTATTGTGTTCGCTTTCATATAAAGTTCTGCAAGTAAAGGATCGACCGTTTCATGTTCTCGAGCACATCTGTCTTACAAGTGAGTGTAGGATTTTATGTCATAGGTCTGCAGTCACCCATGCTTATCGTCAGTTTGTTTGTTTGTTTGTTTTTGAACGCCGCACTCAGCAATATTCCAGCTATGTAACGGCGGTCTGTAAATAATCGAGTCTGGATCAGACAATCCAGTGATTGACTTCATGAGCATCAATCCATGTCATTGGGAGACGATGACGAGTCTGAGCACCCGATGCCGTTAGTCGCCTCTTACGACAAGCATAGTCGCCTTTTAAGGCAAGCATGTAAACAGTATTGGTCTGATAACTGATCCCTGAGGAACGCCAAAAAATAATGACTTTCTTTTTCGATAACACATTTTTTAGGTTATGATTTGTCTGTCAGGTTTGAAATAAACCAAGAGGGAGCATCTCCGCTGATTCCTACGTGGTTTTCTAGTCGATAAAGCAGTCTTCCACGGCCATTGTATCAATACCGCTAAGTCCAATGGTGCAAGGAGTCCAACGTGCCAAATACCTATCCTGAAAGGTGTAAGTGACGGCAATACTTGCCGTAAGAGGCGACTAACGGGATCGGTGGTCGGGCTCGCTGACTTGGTTGTTGCATGTCAATGGATCCCAATTCCCGTGAAGATCCAGGGTAAAATAGGTCTTCAGCAACCCATGCTTGCCGTAACAGGCGAAAAACGTGATCGGGTGGTCAGGCTCGCTGACTTAGTTGATGCATGTCATCGTATCCCAATTGCGTGGATCGATGCTCATGATGTCAATCACTGAATTGTCGGGTCCAGATTAATTACAGACCGTAAAGAGAAAACAACAACACTGATGTCTTACAAGCAGTAATACCTGAACCTTTCTGTTAAATAACAAATAGAATGAATGACAATAATTATGTGTAATATCATGCTGTAAATTAGGAGGACAGTTTACTTACAATTCCTCATAAAGGTCTTCATTCCAAGGACGGTGACTTTCATGGTTGATGTAACGTTGTAATGGGTAAACAGGTGACAGTTGCCATTGTTGTGAGATAGGAACGAACATTCTGTGTCAGTGTAGCACCGCAAGGCACACTCCTGCAATATTACCGATTGGTATTGGACAAACCATTCTTCAAGCAGAGAGTCGTCCTCTTCTACCATGTGCGTGAAGATGGTTCCTAGAGCTTGGCTAGATGTCATATACAATGCTACAAGCACAACTTCCCTAATCATCCTGAAGACGTAATCTAAGTGGTCCTACTCTGACAGTCTTCTTGGAAGAAATAACTGACTGTCAACAGGGGTCACTATCATTGCCTGGTTGCTGTTTGCTTTTGCTTTTGTCCTGGTTACCAAGGTCTGTCGTTACAAGACGACATCGACATACTCGTGTTAAATGAATGGACACGATCAATGGTATTGATAGTAACTGCTCCATGGTTTTCTTAGGGCATTGATGTAAGCTGCCAAATTACATCTTCATAAAACGTTCCTGAGCTGACCCAAATTGATTTGACGTGGTGGAGGAAAGGGACACAAATGCATTTTTTATCCCGGGAAAAGTGTTCTTGTTTCGTATAGTAAAAATGTTGACAAGGATACGCGCACGCACGCACGTACGCACGTACGCACACACACTCTCTCTCTCTCTCTCTCTCTCTCTCTCTCTCTCTCTCTCTGTTATACGGAGGACATTGTTCTATCATGACGTCATTTCTGGAGATTTGAAATAGGCTCGCATCATGATGACGTCGTATATTGGACGACGTTAATTTTGACAGGGGAGTGTCTAGTGAGTTGTTCCCCATAGATGTAGCTGGGCAACGCAGATAAACATGATGGCCGAACGATCGCATCCAAAAGCGGAAGAGATATGACAATCGTCATTAGGAGAAAAGGTACAGGTAACAGGCGTGAGGATTGTGAGAATCCCCACCTGTGCATAAAATAATGGACTTGTCCGACATTGCCGAGGTCGGATTCATTTGAGGGGGTCATCATTATTAACATTCGGATAAATATTTTTAAAGCTTGTACATTTCATCATCATCCTAATCGAGGCTGCACATATGTTGATATCTCCAAAAAGAAATAAAGGACTTGTGGTCGTTGTTTATCGTACACACAATTGGTCATGATCTAAGGTTAGTTCGAAAACTGGTGTCTTAAATTCATTTATTACAAAGTTATGGCCCTTGTCCCGTGTTTTTCAACTTAGTGCATACTGTGTGAAATGGGATCAGCTTTCTCAGAAAAAACTATAATTGCATGAATGAAAGTTTGCATGCTTATCTAAGAGATAATTGTAAAGCCTGTGAAGACATATATCATGTTTTTTCAACTGAGTGCATGGCGTCTGCGTTGGGGACAAGTTTTCTCAGAAACTGCTGAAGATATATGCATGAATGTTTGCAAGCTCATCTAAGAGATACTTGTCAAGACTGATTTCGAAAATTGGTGCCGTAATATATTTTGCCAATAATAAATGTAATATTAATTTTGTTTTCTTGCAGGTTTAAATTCATGCAAAAATCCTAGAAATACGAGTTTCCTAAGATACACATGTTGTGCCATCAGGGTCAGCTGCTCTTGGGGCTGTAATCCTTCGGAGCCCTAGAATCATGCCGTTCTTCATCGTGCATATCAGGAAAGTACGAGATATTGCCCCTTTTTATAATTGTTTTGCCTTAAGGAAGAGTTTATTTTATAATATAGGCCACATAAACATAATCTCTTTTTCCATATATCATTGTTATCATTTATTATCATTTTAAGTTACATCTTGTGTTTGAGTGGTTGGGAAATCTTCAACCAATCAATTTCATTTCGTAAAAAAACCTTAGGCTGAGGTACAAAGTAAAAATAAACATTTATTCATAACATGGATTTGTTATACATACGAAAATATTTGCATCTTGATTGTAGTGCTCTCTGAATCGTTGGGTGTTGAAGAATATTATTACTCTTTATATTTCTATTCCATTCCGTGAATAACATCAAAATTTCATAGTACTTCATTTAGTGTCTTATAACGGAATTTGTTGTTTCTGAAAAGAAACTTCTCAACATTTTTACAGTTTGTACTTCCAGTTTTAATATTGTACTTGCATATTCAAATCTGAATGCCATTTTGTTGCTGTGTATCATAATTTCAGATTTGTTCAGTTATTTTGTTTTAACTGAAATTTTGAAATCAACGCAACGGGGACCGCCTGAGATCCTGGGCCCGTTTAACAGAGATATCTTTGTGCTAAGATGATCGTAACTCCCATACTTAAGCATGAACTTACTATGTAATGTAACACCTTTATTTCAAGTTAGAGGCAACAGGCCCATAGAACATAACATAACAGAAATACAATTACTGATAAAGTGACTAATACAATATCATTGCATTCAATATGAATTTCGTTAGCTGTACAATAGTAGGTTTATGATTAGACGAACAAAGGATTCCAGTGACGGATTTACAAAGTATTTAGGATCAGTGTATCGATATCTTAGCTAATTAAAAGCAGGGCATACAAGTACAAAATGATATTCGTTTTCCCCTAGACTAATATTTAGTCGAAGACAATATCTACACAAGCGACATTCTGGATCGATGGCTTTGTGTCTGTCCATTTCGATCATCAACTGATGACAGCTGCATCTGAATCTTTACAACGCGTGTTTCAATAGTGTAGAGTCGACTTGTGTAAGATATACTTCGGTCTGTAAAACTGATTTGTAGGTTGAATATGCCATTAGCTTTGGATTTTATGATATTGATGAATGCCATCGTTGGATGTTGTAATCGGATACACGTTGCTTAAACTGAGACATAAAAAGATAAACATTTCCAACATCTTGCATAATCCATGCGTAGCCAAAGCCAATCTGGAATAAGATATGTTTTATTTTAGTGCCCCAGGAAGTTCTGTTCACGCAGTCCAATCCATACAGAATTCGAAACGTTTGCTTCGGAAATCGGCCATTATTCATAGTGATTAGTTTAGCCCAATATTTTACACATTTTGTTACATAGGTGAGATATAATAGAGGTCGACCACTTTCTCCAAGAACAGCATCATTACAAGCACTCAGAGGCAGATACAGAATTCTTTTTATATACTTAGTCTGAACTCTCTCAGTTTGTTCCACGACTTCGTATCCCCATAGTTCGGAGCCGTATGTAAGGATGGGCAGAACTATGCTATCAAACATCTTTAGTGCAGTCGTAATTGGTAAGCCACCACACATAGAGTGCAATCTGTATATGAGTAAGCTTACTTTCTCCGCCTGCTTTGCCAACACCTGTTTTGATCTCGTCCAAACTAGTTTAAGTGTAAAAGAAAGACCAAGATATTTATAAAAGGAGACGGTTTCGATCTGAGAGCCCCTGTTACACCATTTTTCATACTGCCGTAGTTATCCACCATTTCGGAATACAACAATCTTCTTTTTGTATATTTAGGTTCATACCCCATTTTTCACAAAAGTTGCTAACGCAATTTATTTGTTCTTGGAGTTAACAGTATGGTAGTGTTGGGAGTAAATCGATTGTGTCTTAATTTGTTAGCCATTCCATTTTCAAGTTGGTAAAGCTTCTTTTAGATGCCGTTTTTTTTAAAAAAAGACCCAGCACTACATTTCAGTGGTTCAATGCATGGTTGAGGTCTCCAAGGACCCGTGTTCTCTAATTAAGACATTAGCACGCACTAATTTTATTAACAAACATCCCGTTGCTCGCGTCTGAAGTGTGTGTTTGTTTGTTTTGACTGGTGTTCCCACGTATCATCAATACATTATGGTCATATGTAAACAAAGCGGAATCATTAACATCTTCTTTGATGGTATACAACCTTGAGCCTCTTAAGCCGTAAGAATGTTGTTGAATTTGAAGAGATAAGAAGTTCGTTTGAACAATGGTCATATTTGCTACCCTGTATCATAGTATAAATCATCATATACTAATCGATAGTGATGGCGATGAATAGATTAACAAGTAATTCTTTTCCTAACTTTATGGATTAACTATAAAACGTCTACATATATCAGGTGAAATAAGTAGTCTAATTGCGTCCATAATTAACTGTGACACATTTCACAATTCCCCACGGTACAGATGTTTGCAAGGGGTTAAATATAATTATTTTTATGTGAGTTATTGAGAAGATATTGAACATAAAACCGATAACTAAGTGTGTGTATATGGAATGATAGATTTTTTTCACAGTACTTGAACAGAGTAACGTCTGAACAGTATTAAGATACTACACTCAAGAGCAAATTTATTGATAACTGACAATTTACCGTTATTGTGATGATACGGACTGTAAAGGGTGATCAAACCGCCCGCTGTTTTAATCTGTGTTGGGGTAAAAGAGTGTGTTGTTTACGATCTGCTCCCAGAATTCGTGTTAATGTTTAACTGTATAAGAGAGACGACCTTAGACAATAGAGACAACATATAGCAATCCTGTATTCACAACATACCCGGACCCGTGAAGTTCCGGGGTAGAATAGGTCTTCAGCAACCCATGCTTGCCGCAAAAGGCGACTATGCTTGTCGTTAGAGGCGACTAACGGGATCGGGTGGTCAGGCTGGCTGACTTGGTTGATGTATGTCATCGTATCCCAATTTCCTGGATCGATGCTCATGATATCAATCACTGGATTGTCTGGTCCAGACTCGATTATATATACAGACCGGCGTCATATAGCTGGAATATTGCTGAGTGTAACGTTAAACAACAAACAAACAAACAAATCACAACATACCTCCTCACGTACGTTTATCATGAGGCCGATGAGGAAACAGTTCTCTTAATTATTTAATTGCAAATAATCACATTCCATCTGGAATAATATTCATAGCACCAAAGCAGTATCTAAATTGAAAATATCAACGACCGAGAACGGTTGGTTTCGATATGTCCAAACAGATTCCATAGTGATGGAAATTACACGAATGGATCACTGAAAATCAGTGATGACACCAGGTGTTCGAGTCACATGTCGGACTGTCCACACACAGCTGGGGTGTTTAGTGATGCCTAGTTTGACACCAGTGGGACGAACTCTTGACTCCAGCAGTGATAACTTACCCAATACCCATTGTGTAATTCCTATTCTGTGAATGACATTGTTATATATTTGTTACAACCGCTGCACAATAAACCGTGTTTGTGTTTATAATCAGATTCGTATTTCCGCTATCCAATATGTGCGTCTTATTGTTGATAATCATTTTAGAGACATAAATGCGAAGTTTCATTTATGCGACCAAAAAAACACTCGCATTTTTC